AAGTTGTTAAATGACATGATATAATAATGGGATTACATTCATTGTTCATAAGTTGTCATTACATGTGACACAAGCATATGATTAGTAAAAAAATATCTACTAAATATTTCAATAACCTAATATTTTTAGATCAATCAAATTCTAGGAAGAGACTCATAAAATAATTGTATTCAACTCCATTGAACTGCACTCGAAGGAACATATAGATCTGTTGTCTCAAATTATGTCACATATGATATCTTGCACTTAATGATAATGAAATAAAAACAACAACAATAATAATAATAATAAAAGTTTAAAATCTTTAATTAACATGCATGTTTTAATTAGCGCGATACAATATATGATATCATTGATACATCACATATATAATATACTATAAATAGGCTACATTTGGTGCAATACTTCATATTCAAGTGATAAATCTTACTCCACCCTTCAAATAAACATGATAACCCTTATACTCTTTCTTATATCTTGTCTAGGTCCATTAATCAATATATCTGCCCTTAACACTTGTCCTGATTGTGGTAACTCAACTGTTCCATTCCCACTCAGCACTAACCAAAACTGTGGAGATTCAAGGTACAAAATTTACTGCAACAATGGTATCTTAGAATTCTTATCAGCTACAGGAACTTACTATAACATCCTTAGTATTGATCAAAATGCTAACAAGCTTGTTATTAATCCATCCCTTATAATGAAAGACACATGTTATTCTTCTGACCTACAAGAGGGTGGTTTCTTGCTTCATGAAAACTTACCCTTTAATATATCTACACACAACACTGTCATGTTGCTTAATTGTTCACAAAGTATTCTTCTATCTCCTTTGAATTGTTCTTCAAACAGTATCTGTAGAAAATTTGAAGAAAAAGTGGATGAAGGAAGTGGGTGTGTAAGTACACTTTGTTGCCATTATTTGAAAGATTCAGCCATGAGTTCTCATAGGATCAGAATTAGGGTTGGTGGTTGCACTGCATATACATCTTTAGTGGATTTCAAGGTTAATGAATCTATTGATTCTTGGAATTTTGGGATTGAGTTGCAATGGGTTCCTACTAATTGATTAAGATGAATGGACAAGGATCACCCGTCTCGCTTCCTATCTCATTCCATGTACTCGGCCAATTACAATGCTGCTATATGAATAAAATAAAAAGTTTAAAAATAAAAAGTAACAAAAAGTAAAAAAATTATTGGTCTGTAACAAAAAGTAAGACAGAGAATGAGACAGGTGATCTATGTCCAATTTTGTCATATTAGCAAACAATAATTCCCTTATATATGTTACATTTTATGTTGTTTTTTATCATCTTGAGTTTGTTGCTTTTGAAGTTTTCCCTTGTTAGAAAAGCATATATATCACCTTTGTCTTGTGTATGCTCTTGTTGGGAAATCAATGTTTGTTTCTTGTTCTATTGTGTTTATTAATTTTGGTTTTGGTATCATATCACAAGAATGTTTGTTTGCTTTGTTTGATAGTGGAATAAGAATATAATTAATATTTATATTATAATATAAGGAGGAAGGAAACTTTCTTAATTTTATGTTTTTTTATTGAAAAATAACTAAGTATTATGTTCATTAAAAAATTATTTATATAATATGTCACTCAATTCCTATTTATGATTTTCGAGTGGTAATAGTCAAATTATTCATGACAGTATATTTATAGATATATTTAGAACGATTTCTACACTATTATAGTGATTTTGGGTTTATGTTTATGGGACAAAGTAGTTGATAATGCTTACACAATTTTAATATTACAAAAAAACATTTTAAAGAGAATGACATAATATTCGATTCAAATATTAACATTTTCCAATGATATAATTAATATTTTTAGTCTAGTAACAACAAATTCAAATAATAATCATCCTACATTTGCTGTGACCTAGCATAAGAGCATCATGTATTCAAGGAAATTTTGTTTGTTATGTTCTTAGTGGGGCTATAAACTACACAATAACATTATGGATTTATGAGCATGGTAGCCTAATACCTACATTTAACAGACTAGCTTCTCTTTTAATTTACAGTGCCAAGACTTTTAAAAAGCTCTGCATTATGCAATATAAAATGTTTATTAAACTTAAAAATGGAACTATTTAATTATATTATATCCTTTAAACATTGTATCATTCTCTTTGTGACTTTGAAACTATATCTTGACCAAAAACCTTAAGGCATTAGGTTTGAGTTCATCTACTTATATACTCTTCAATTCATCCATTTTTACACAATGTGAGACTTCTTTATACTTGGAATACCCAACAAATGTTAAACTTTGGGTTTTAGTTGGGAATAGTTCATGTAATGGAATAGTTGAAAATTGGTTGTAAACTTTGTAGATTTACACAATAAAGTTTCTTAAAGAGAAAGAATATTTATAGAATAAAGTTTCTTAAAGAGAAAGAATATTTACACAATAAATTTTTTATATTATTAGTACTAGCGTGTCGACAGGCACTTCGTGCCTACCGACCCGCATTCTTATTTTTCGGTATTAAATATTTAATTTTTATATATTTCATTTTAGAGAATTATATCACAATTTTTATATTGAGTGTACATAATATTATAATTTATTTAATAGAAAAATATGAAAGTGAATTGTGATATTATTAAAACTTATATTAAAAATTACATGGGTGCTTAGATATTTTTGATATATGTATTTTCTTCTAACTTTCATTGATGTTTCCTTTTATTGTGTGGTAAACATTGTAATTAAGTATAGATATAGATAATTAACACATTCAATAATTATTTTACTTTATTTGCATTGTAATAATAGTTAATTAGAATGACAAAATAGACAATAAAAAGTTACACCATGTAGGTAGTTATAAAATGTTTTGGCTTTATATATAGTATAGAAGTATAGATATATAGTATATATATATATATATATATATAGTATAGATATCATCATTCATATGTTGATTGTTATCTATTTTTAATTATAAATAATACATGTATAATAACCATTAAACTATTTTTCATTAATATTTTTATCAACCAAATATGACATAAACTTACATTAAAATTCATATGTTGTTTTAAATTCATTTCTCACTTCCACACTATTTTTATAATATATTTCCATGTACAAGTTTACATAATATAATACTAATTAAACAGATGAACTAGGACAATTGGTTTATTGCCCCTTCAAAATAAAGTATAAAGAAATTTTTTATCCCTCCTAGCCCAAAAAATTCTTACAAAAAAAATGTATGCATCGCGGTGTATGAGTTTTATACACTATTACTATATCATATATCATTCATATTTAATCATCATTGACTATTCTTAAAAATAATTAATATAAATAAATGATGTAGTAACTATATATAAATCTTTATACTAACAATGCATCAATATTCCATTCCAAAAATTATTCATATAGGAAAATGTTTAGGGGCTATGTAGCAAGAAACATGAAGCTTTGACACTTGGAAATTGGAACAACTTTCTCATTTGCTTATTCTCCTTACATTAATTGACCCAAGTTGCTTTTTGGGTTGACTGATTAGGGTAGAACTTTTCCTTGATGGAGTAGGAATTGATGATGGGATCATACTCCTATATTAGCAAAATAGAAAAATAAAAAAATGTTATTATATTTGAGAAAAGCACAAACAACATTGATTTTTTTATGCAAGACACCCAAGTTAATAAAGGAGAAAGAAACATAAACATAAATGATATAAATAAATTTGTATGCTTTTTATTATCTACTAATAAAATCCATTTATGTCTATATTTATATCTAGTCCATATGATCATATAAGAGGAATAAATAACATAAAAGTATCTTAATTCATTAATAATATAGTTTAATATATATGCATGGTGAGTGCAAAATTTTCTACTATTCCCGAAATAACGAGGTAGACAATGTGATACTTACTTCTCAACATTCTCCTTTTACATAAGTCTGTTGGACCAGGCGAAGGGTTACCTTTGACCCATAACTAAATTTTATGTTTTTTTATCTACTAATATAATTCATTTATATCTGGTCCATATGATCATATAAGAGGAACAATTAACATAAAAGTATCTTAATTCATTAGGAATAGACTTTAGTATATATGCATGGTGGGTGCAAATTTTTCTATAATTCCCAAGATAATGAGTTGGGTGATGTGAGACTTACTTCCCAACATTTTTCCTTCACATAAGTATCAGACGAATGGTTATATTTGACCCATAACTAAATGACATCTTTTGGCCATGACAACCATAAAGAAGTTTAGTCCATGACAACTGGAAAGAAGTTGTGTTCTGGTTCTGATATCATGTTAAAGTTTCATATCAAAACCAATTGACAATGAGAGGAGTAGCCCAACAGGTCGTTAAACCATTCCCGATATAATGAGATAGGCGATGTGAGACTTAATTCCCAACACCCTATATATCATCCCATATTTATATGCATTACATTCATGTGAGAATCAATGATAATTAACACAAATATATATATATATATATATATATATATATATAGAATAATATATCTCCTGATATAAGGAGATAAATTATTTCCTCCGACCACTAAAATTGTGACATGTGTACCATTTAATCATTTTCAACAAAAATATTTCTAAAACTAAACAAAACAATAAACATGTCATTCTTTTATTGGCCGGAAGAGGTAAATTATCTCCTCCAACCACTAAAATCGTGACATGCGTATCATTTAATCATTTTCTACAAAAATATTTCTAGAACAAAACAAAACAATACACATGTCATTCTTTTATTGGCGGGAGAAGATTAGTTATCTCCTGGTACGAGGAGATACATTATTCTCATATATATATATATATATATATATATGTGTGTGTGTGCATGTGCATGAATAATAACATTTTTCTTATAACTAATATGATAACCAAGAGGATTAATTACCTGGGTTCTGGGATCTTTGATGGTTTGGGTAGAGTTGAAGATTTCTTTGGCATAGAAGCTAATTCATTTGAAATGCTGGTTGGTCTAGGTATATTTGATGATAACCAATTCAAATCTGATTCTGAAGAATCACTAGTTGCAATCTCAAGCTCATCAAATTCATCATTGATATTGTTGATATCATAACCATGCAATGAAGGTTCATTATTGCACATTTTTGAAGTTTCTGAAATAGATTTTGGACTTAACAATGTTTCCCATTGTCCCATTAAGCTATCATCACTTGTTAAGCTATCATTCCTTTTCATCATAATCTTATCATTCCAATCATTAGAAGTTGATGATTCTTTATCATCTTCCTTTGCATTTATCATATGTTTCCCAACATGTGGCCATTGAGGTGAATTTCTATACATTTCATGTATATCTAAGCTTCTTCTTTTCAGCTTTGATGCTGTTTTTTTCTGTACCTACAAGCCATTGTTGAATTTAATGTTAGAACACATGCAAACATCATATATTTGTAGAAAAATAAAGGCATGCATGCATGGATTTTAGAGTGTAATATCTATGCACTGTCAATGTAAAGATTTATAGATAATTATTACATCATACACCGTTCATTTGGATTACTTTTTTAAGAGTCGGTGATAATTAAATATAAATGGTAAATGAAATAGTAATAATATATAAAACTCGTACAATGCCACTTCTCCACTTTAGTGGAGTAAAATCCTTTTTCACATATAATGATTTTGAGATGTCTAACTATTGTTAAAGGTGAATTGCACACATTTTCCCTCTATAATATTTAATCAATTTTCTCTATTAATTAGCTTTATTTTGTAACACACTATTCATTAAGTAAAAGGCTATTCATTAACTAAAAGACTGTTTCTAATGTTTAAACTCGTAATCTCTTGGTCAACCTGGTGCGCTGAGCTTCACCCTCTTACGAGATTTATTAGCTATGGTTGAAAAATGTAAATATGTAATGAATGTTAAATTTTGCAACAAAAACTATGGAAGTGTTTGAGTGGTTTGAATAGAGATCAAGTGCTTGAAATGACTAAAATTAATTTCATTATGTTTAATAGATAGATTTAAATTCCGGACTGCATTACCTGATGGGCCGCAACTGTAATTGTAGTGTGACTCTGAATCACAATGATCCGGCCGCATCAGATCGCAATGCAACTGAATCAAGTCGCATCAGGTCGCATCGGATTCAAAAATATTGTTTTAATCACAAAATAATTCACACCGCAACAACCACAATCCGCATCGTGATGGCCGCAATAACCATAATCGCAGTAAACACAACCGTTACCGCAATCACTACCGCAACACTAATTTAAAACACTGGTTTAATAACATGTTACCTCTAGTTTACTAGAATAATCTCTTGGCGTTTTGCTTCCAAATCTTTTGGGAGAAAATGCATAGGATTTCAACTTTGGTGATTCATGGCTACTACTATTGGAAGATTGTTGAAAGCGTCCTGGTTCTCCATCTTTCCTAGCCATGGCTGCTTTCAGACTAGCAATCTGGCAAAGATAAAACAAAAACTCTATACAACATACATTGATATGTGTAACAATAAATTTACAACAATAACTAAGTCTTAATCCTACTGTGGTCGACTACATAGATCGAACGAAGCATGGACCCGTAAATCTTTTCGAATTATTTTGTCTATGGACTAACCTGATCTTCTTATGACTCCCTGGACTAACCTCTATTTAGTCTACTCTCCTTACCGGGATTTCTATCGTCTCGTTCACAATGTCCAAACTTCCTAAAACGCGATTTATTGTTATAAAATGTAAAATGTGTGGATTTATTGTTTTGACCCTTTCCAAAGAAAGAAAAAAAGTAAGAACCTGTTCTTTAAGTTCTTTGACATCTGAATTATTATTATATTTATTAACTTTAGCAGCACCAAGTTCAACAGTGGAAACTCTTTCAGCAAACTTGAGTGTACTAAGTGTTTCTCCAAGAGCTTCAAGTTCAGGACTAATATGAACAAACATAAGTGTCTTAGCTTGTCCTCCTGATATAAAAGAAATAAACATAAAATCAGTTTCTTTGTACTTAACAAAGGATATAACACCATATTAATCAAAGGCATAGAGAAGGGTTATTAATATGAAAATCATACCTAGTGAATCCTGAAGTAGTTGAGTAAGTTTACTATTTCTGTATGGAACATGTGCATTTTTTGAAGCAAGGGAAGCAATTACATCTCCTAAGGCTGAAAGTGACTTATTGATATGTTGAGCTTCCTTAAGTCTATCCCCTCTGGCTTCAGATTTATCAGCCCTCTCACTTCCTGCCAAGTCGACAAGATGCATACTACCGCGAATCGTAGTTCCCGATGTCGAGTACTTTCCTTGAACATGAACTGTCAAGCAGCTGCAATTATATATGTGTCATTACAGGTTAGTAGCAAATTATATTATGATGCAGAAGATACATGATATGGAAAAAGTACTTTTAGTTGTACAATAAATCTACACAACTTCGATTTTTACAGCGCATACAAGTACTTGGTGTCCGAAAGTTATCTGAATTTGTTATTCATAAAACATGTTTGATTGTAAAGGGTCAATGTAAGGCCAACAAATGGTACTAGTAAGGTTTTCACTAATGCTAATCACAAGAACTTATGTAAAACAAATAGAAATGTTTTAGTTACCTGTGAGAACGACTGCTGCGATCGTTCATGGCAGTAGAACCAACAGCTCGATTCTTATGTCCTAAGTTCATCAAACTTATGACATCGGAAGTTGATGAAACAGGAATAAGGCTCGCCTCTGGCACGTTAATGCCATTTTGGGAACTGTTGCGAATTTCTAATGTATGCAAGTGTTAAGGATCATATAGAGGAACAAGAGAATCATCAATTGAAAATGACACATATACTAACTAATTCAGCACTATAGAAAATGACAAGTTAAATATTGAGAAGGATATCTTTTGTTAGAACCATCTATGGTTAGTAGGTCTCTGACTTGTTCATTGTAAATCTCAAGCATCTGAACACTAATATCATAGCTAATGATGTCTTTCCTTTGTTCCGAGAGAAGGAAAAGATCTCTCAATGCACGGTAGTTAACACCTATTGTTTCCTCATTAAGTTCGTCCGGTCCAGACTACATCAATACAAAGATACGATAACCGAGTTATTGCATTTCACAAAAGTCATGAGGCGAAAACATGGTGGAGCAAACAAGGTTGTCCAAATGTCCTACCATGGTGTGTGTTTTTCCTGATCCTGTCTGGCCGTAGGCAAATATACAAACGTTGTACCCGTCTAGTACAGATCGAACCAGCGGCTGCATATCGGAGAAAACTTCCGCTGCCAGCAACCATAAAGAGAATTAATAATGAAAACATAATGAGTAGCAACACTTTTTGTAGAAGGATTATGTAACTTTGTTTTAAAAACAAATGATAGATATTTCTTAGAGCATGCATTCATTCATTATAGTTCACCAGCATATAGTAGTTTCTCTTAAGACCAACCTTGGGTTGCAGAAGGACCAAATGCTCTATTGAAATTAAATGTCTTCTTTTCTTCTTTGCTGTATTTGAAAGGTGTTAAGATTGAGATACTTCCCTCCTCCACATTGCTGACAGAGCTATTATGGCTTTGTTGGTCACCTAAGAAGGGTCGAACTCGGCAGTACACCCGAATATTTCCTATCAACATGCAAGACCATTCATTCTCACATAGAACATGTAAATCCGGAAAGATTAAAATTATAATAGACTTTTGATCACTTTAATTTACCTTTCAGGTCCTGTACTTGATTGTATAACTTCCGATTTTCTTCGATAACTTTATGATATCCTGATGCAGCAGAAGATAGGCTATCCAGGTTCTTACCTATAAAGGGTAACTATCTTGTAATTAGATATTGAATTGATATTGCTGTAAAAAATTGATGGTTTTGTTTTTTGAGTCTACTTACTTAGATAGATGATATCTTCTTGGTATCTCTTTTGCAGAAATTGCATTCCTGATTTTGTTTCATAGACTATAGTTTTCAATTCCTAAAGGATATCAATAATAAAATTGTTACTTTAGTTCATCAATTTATGAACAATGCCAACATCAAATTCTTGTATATATATATATATATATATATTTCCAACTTACCTGAATGCTTCTATTTTGTTGTTGGATCAATTCTCGCGTCTTCAAATTCCGGCTACTTGATTCTTCATGGCCATTGTGCTTATCATAAGATGCCTCTTGTAACTCCTCTCTACTCTGCAGGTCTTGTGCATCTTCATCAACAGAAGCAGCTTTTGAAATTGAACATTCTACTTCACAAGGTACATTTTCTTCTTCAGTTGGTTTAAGCTGCCATGATGAAAATATTTGACATTAAACTCACTAAGTTTCATTCATTATTACGAGGTTTGTGTTGTTAACGCTCCATCTCAAAACCGATTGACAATGAGAGGAGTAGTCAACAGGTATTTAAACCATTCTCGAGACAATGAGATATGCGATGTTGAACTTGCTTCCCAACATGTGTCATCTGGTATGAAATCGAACATGATTTAAAAGTGGGGAAAAAATGATTACCGTTTCATTTTGGAATTGCATTCGACGTTCACACTCCTCCATCACTTTGCTAAGCAGGGACTCCACAAACTGTTATAGTAAAAGATGTTATATCTTTAGTGAGGATGTATAAAACCAAAGAAAGAAGCAATAACACTTACAATGGGAATTTCTTCTGGCTTCTTGTCACATAAATATTCGCGAACTAATGAATGTAAGGAAGGATAGGATCCCTGCAGATACAAATTCAATAAGCTTATCCTCGCCTTGTAGATTAAAAGTAAACGATTATAAACGACGAAGCTCGCTAACCCCTTCATTTCGATCTTGCCCGGAATCGCTGTTTGAAGAGTGATCACTCATAACATCTCTGTCGATCGATGGCGTAGTAGTCCTTAAAGACTTCATGAATGGTTCCGAGATTTTCTTCAAAACAGTTTTCGCAGATGTAGGCGGCTTTGGAGTACCAATGCCACCATATTTCCATGTTCCAATTTCCCCTCCTTGCTTCCATTCAGCATAAGACTTAAGTGCTAAAACACAATTCACTATCCTTGAAGATTTTCCTCCCTGCAAATGCAGCATGTAAAAAAACAAGATTGTTGAAGGCATAGCAGGAATTGCTTTATAGTAA